AACCAGTCCCACCATTATGTATAATTATAATGCACCAATAAAAATATGGGAAAAATACAGTTGAATTTTAAGACACTCAATAATATGATAGTTTATCTGAAGCCAAAGTTGATTGGATTGTTTTAGTTTTATGATGGAGCTCTGGTTGGGTGCTATACTGGTCACTCACTATTTTTCTTTTTATTTACTTTTTTGGCTTGAACCCAGTCTTTGATATTCATTTTCCTAAGTCTTTTCTTTCTTTTTTTTTCCTTTCTTTCTGTACTGGGGATTGAACTTAGGGGCACTCAACCACTGAGCCACATCCCCAAGTCCTATTTTATATTTTATTTATAGACAGGGTCTCATTGGGTTGCTTAGTGCGTCAATTTTGCTGAGGCTGGCTTTGAACTCATGTTTCTCCTGCCTCAGCCTCTCAAACAGCTGTGTGCCACCATGCCTGACCAGCTCTTTTTCCTTAAGGCTTATTTGTTTGTTTGTTGCTGGGGATCAAACCCAGGGTCTAGCACATGCTAATCACCTACTCTACCACTCTAGCACATGTTCGGTAAGTGCTCTGCTTTTGGGCTATTCCCTCAGCTCTCTTTCACACTCATGGTAACACTGGATACATCCTGATAATCTTCCCATTTCAAGGTCATTTGATTAGAAACCGGAATTCTCCTTTGTCATGTAACCTGATTCCAGGAATTAGGACATGGACTTCCATGTGAATCATTTCTACTTAAAATACACATCAGCCCCATCATTCCCTGGTTATTTGTCTTCCTTTTAAAAAATGAATATTGTTTTCAGTTGCRGAGAGAAAAATTTTTTCCTATAACTTCTTAGGTTCAAGTATGTGCCACCATACTTGAACTTCTTTATCAAATCCATACTTCTTTAGTGTAGTCCTCAATTCCTGCTTCACTTCAGGCAAGTGTCTCAACAATTTGCTCTTGTCATACTGAACTTTTTTCAGAATGCCTTTCCACCATCACAAGCTGTTGTAAATATAAATTCCTTTACAGGAACACTTTTTTTTTTCTTTTCCTTTTTTTGGTACCAGAGATTGAATCCAGAGGCACTTTCCCACTGAGCCACATTCCCAGTCCTTTTTATTTTTATTTTTAAATTTTAAGATAGGGTTTCACTAATTTGCTTAGGGCCTTGCTAAATTGCTGAGGCTAGTTTTGACCTTGCAATCCTTCTGCCTCAGCCTCCCAAACCGCTGGGAATACAGGCATGTGTCACCATGCCTGGTTTACAGGAACACTTTTTTTTTTTTTTTAATAGTTTTTTAGTGCTAGGCAAGTGCTGTACCACTGAGCCACAACCCCAGCCTTATGGAAACACTTTTTTTTTTTTTGGTAATATACTCTTTTTCCTGAGGCTATTCTTCATTTTTCGTGCTTGTTTGTTTTGTACTGGGGATGAAATACAGGGCCTAGCACATGCTATGCACATTCTGTATCACTGAACTACACCCCAGCCTTCTCAGGTTTTAGCTTAAAATTCCCTTCCTTGGGAAACCATCTTTGCTACCTTTCTGTCTTCAGTCTAGCCCAAGTGTTGCCTACTTTGGGGCTCTCAGTGTCATAGGGTTCCCCTATCATATCACTCTCTATTGGAGTGCCTGGTATTTGCCAATCTAGACTGAGCTATCGGAGGAGTACAGGGATGAAATGGACCTTATTCACCTTTGCGTCCTAAGAATGTTCTTAATTAATAGAGCTGTTCTTTAACAGATGACAGACAAGAAAAAAAGATTAGTTCAAATAATTTGCTTTACTAATATCAGATTTATAATTTTGCTGCAGTGTTCAGGACACAAATATATGGGTTTTTTTTTTTTTTTTTTGATAATGCCAGTAGAGAACATTTCAAGAATGCTAATTAGCCTTACTTAGTGACACATGCCTATAATCCCAGCAATTTGGAAGGCTGAGTAGGAAGACTGAAAATTCAAGGCGAGCCTGGGTAACTTGGTGAGACCCTATCTCAAAGTAAAAAATAAAAATGACTGGGGATGTAGATGTGGGGTAAAGTGCCCCTGGGTTTGATCTCTGATACTGAAAAAAAATTAATAATAAAAAGTGCTAACTATATGAAAAACACTGTTATAAATGTTTCACATAAATCTCATTCTCACATTTTATCAGTTACCTGTTACTGCTTTAACAAATTACCACAAATTTAGTGTCTTCAACCAACACAAAATTAAGTTTTAGAGGTCAGAAGTCTGACTTTGGTCTCACTGAGTTAATATCAAGGTGTTTTTAGGGCTGTAATCCTTTCCGTAGCTTCTGTGAGAGAATCTGTTTTCTTGCCTTTTTCTACCTTCTGGAGGCTGTGCTCCAACAGTCCTTGGCTGGTAGTCTTCTTCCATCTGCAAAGCCAACAGTGGGCTTGGTGAGTCTCACATAGCATCACTCTGACACTGACTGTCTCCCTCTTTCACCCTTGTGATTACATTAGATACATCCTGATATTAATCCCATTTTTTTTTAAGAAATGAACTTTATTTTTATTTTATTTTTTAAAAATATTTATTTATTTTTTTATTTTATCGGCGGACACAACATCTTTGTATGTGGTGCTGAGGATCGAACCCGGGCCGCACGCACGCCAGGCGAGTGCGCTACCACTTGAGCCACATCCCCAGCCCTTAATCCCATTTTTTAAATATTTATTTTTTAGTTGTAGTTGGCATAATGCTTATTTTTATTTATTTATTTTTATGTGGTGCTTAGGATTGAACCCAGGGCCTCACACCTGCTAGGCGAGCGCTCTACCGCTGAGCCACAATCTCAGCCCCAGTCATCCCATTTTATTTATTTATTTTTATGTGGTACTGAGGATCAAACCCAGCGCCTTGCACCTAACCCAGCGACTSGAACGTGCTAGGCAAGCACTCTACCGCTGAGCCACAACCCCAGCCAGCCCCAATTATCCCATTTTAAGGTCAGTTGATTAGCAACCTAAATTGCATTTTCAGCCTTATTCTCCTTTGTCATGTAACCTAATACAATTCCAGGGATTAGGAAATGGACTTCTATGTGAGTTGTTTCCACTTAAAATACACAATAAGTGTGATCCTATTACTATTCCCATTTTATAGATAAGGAAACTGAGGTACAGAGAAGTTAAATATCTAGGTGCTGGACATCAACCCAAAGCTCAAGCTTACAATTCTCTTTTTGTTGTTGTTGGTTTTGGTATGTTGTCCAGGCTGGACTCTAGATATCCTCTTCATAGCCCTCTGAGTACTGGAATTATTAATGTGTGACACTATACTCAGTACAAAAGGTAAAATATTTTGCTCAAGAATGAACACTTAACTAAAAGGATTTGTCTCAGATAGTTGTTATTTCAGACTGTGCTTTTTTTTTTTTTTAATATTGATGGCATCTATTTATACAGGAAATCTTGGTCATAGCAAGCCAAAGAATACCAAGATTTTAGGGTGGGATTATTTCTTAATCTATTGTAACTACCAGGAATTCAAGTCAGAAAACCAACTAGATGGTTATTCATATAATTCTGGATGAAGATGAAATTTCATCTGAAAGACTGTAGAATAAATCTATCATAATTTTCCTATGTACACATATTAAAATACCTAAGTGAATCCCACCATGGGATTCTGATTAGAATAAGATCTATCCCATGCTTGTATAATTTTATCGAAATGGATTCTACTTTCATATATAAGAAGAACCAATAAAATAAAATTAAAAAAAAAATTACCATTGAACTCAAGGTCACTCAACCATTGAGGCACATCCCCAGCCCTATTTCTTATGTTTTGTTTTTTGGGTTTTTTTGGTACTGGGGATTGAACTCAAAGGTACTCGACCACTGAGCCATATCCCCAGCCTGATTTTGTATTTTATTTAGAGACAGGGTCTCACTGAGTTGCTTAGTGCCTCGCTTTTGCTGAGGCTGCTTTGAACTCGAGATCCTCCTGTCTCAGCTTCCTGAGCCTTTGGGATTATAGGTATGTGCCACCACGCCTGGCTCTATTTTATGTATTTTTTTTTTAAGAGGGGGGGGGGAGAGAGAATTTTAATATTTATTTTTTAGTTATCGGCGGACACAACATCTTTGTTTGTATGTGGTGCTGAGGATCGAACCTGGGCCGCACGCATGCCAGGCAAGCGCGATACTGCTTGAGCCATATCCCCAGCCCTGTATTTTTTAATATAAAGACATGGTGTCACTGAGTTTAGGCACTAAGCTTTTGCTGAGGCTGGCTTTGAACTAGTGATCTTCTTGCCTCAGCCTCCCGAGCTGCTGGGATTACAGGCATGTGTTATTGTGCTCCGGCTGTTTTTTTTCCCTTTTTGTTGGTCTGTTTTAAACATTCTAGATGATAGTGAGTGGTACCTTGTTGTCGTTTTGATTTGTGTTTATTTAATGACTGATGTTTGTATTTCTCTAATGATTAATAATGTTCAGTGTTTTTGCATGTGCTTATTAGCCATTTGTATATCTTCTTTGAATTATATGCCTATTTTGAAAATTTTTAATTATGTTTTTGCCATACTAGGGATTGAACCCAGGAGTGCCTCTACCATTCAGCTACATCCCTACCCCTATTTTTTTTTTTTTTTTTTTTTTAATTTTGAGACAGGTTCTCACTGAATTGCTCAGGCTGGTCTCCAACTTGTGATCTTCCTGCCTCAGCCTTCAGAGCAACTGGGATTACAGCCAGGCACTACCACTCCTGGGACTACTTATTTTTTATTTTAATTTTAAGTTTTTGTACTGGGAATTGAACACATGGTCACTTAACCACTGAGCCACATCCCCAGCCCTTATTATTTTTTGAGACGGGATCTCGCTAAGTTGCTTAGACCTTGTTAAAGTTGCTGTGGCTGACCTTGAATTTGGCAATCCTCCTAGCTTTGCCTCCCAAGTTGCAGGTGTGCGATACTGGGCCTGGGGCTACTGTATTTTTTTAAAGTGTTGTTATATTCACTTGAAAGACTAATTTTTCCTTCTCTTCTTATTGGAAGGTCCTGTTCAAAATGCACTGATATCTTCACAATTGTCAGTGAGTCAAGGATATAATTTCCAGCTTCCAGGATCCTATCCTCATCTAATACCAGCAAAGACTTTGAATCCAGTCTCTGGACAGTCTAACTACGGTGGTTCTCAGGGATCTGGGCAAACTATTAATAGACCACCTGTAGCTTCTAATACAGTGACACCTTCACTCCATAGTGGTCCTGTTCCTCGAATGCCACTACCTGCTTCTCAGAATCCAGCTGCTGCACCGATGCCTTCTGGTAGCTTTCTTCCTGGAGCCAACATACCACCACATTCAAATTGGCAATAYAACTATCCGCCCACAGGATCACAAACAAACCATGGTTCTCGTGCATCATCCCAACCGACTGCATTGGGGAGTACAAACTTAACAACAAATCATCAGTATGTTTCTTCTGGAGACCCTTCACTTCAAAACAGCTTCATAAAATCAGGTACTATTATTAGGAATGTTAAAAATGTAGAAATAAACAACTTTTGCTTGTTTAGAGATTTGAATGAATACTTAAAGCCTTAAAACCACATGGAAAATTGTTGGTTTAAAAAATTATTATAAATCTTTAAGTAAATTACTTGTAATATCTTTGAATTAACTCAGTAACTTAAATTAATGAATTATTTCTGCTTTGCTTCTTTCCTTTGAAGGTATTCTTTTTCTTTTTCCTTTCTTCCTTTCTTGTGATGGGGTCTTACTATGTTGCTCAGGCTGGCCTTGAACTCCTGAGCTCAAGCAATCCTTCCTCAGCCTCTGAATAGCTACAGGCTGTTTTTCTTTGAGTCACTTGTGATATTTCAGGGATTCAGGTATATTTGCAGAACCACTTCCTCAGGGACTGGCCACTACTTTTGGCTTTTTTTTTTTTTTTTAATTTTTTTTAGTTATACACAACAGTAAAATGTGCTTTTTTTTTTTTCTTTTTTGTT